ATATTTCAGGCAAGCATTTATCTCGTCAGCTGGTGTCGATCGGGAAATCACAGGCAACGTTTGCCTGAAATCCCCTGCGAGCAATATTAACGCATTCCCAAATGGTTGGACAGCTCCATGCAAATTCCGCAATGATCGATCGAGAGCCTCCAGCGATTTTTTGTGTGCCATTGTGCATTCATCCCAAACAATAAGTTTACATCTTTGCAATACTTTTCCCATGCCAGATGCTCTGGAAATGTTGCACATAGGAGTCTCGATGATTTGCATGTTCAACGGCAACTTCAGCGCTGAATGAGCAGTCCTCCCACCAGGAAACAATGTCGCAGCGATTCCAGATGAAGCAAGAGCTAAAGCTATGTCCTTGTTAGCTCGAACCGTAGCCTGAATCAATGAAATGAGGAATGTTTTCCCCGTTCCTCCTGGAGCATCCAAGCTTCAGCTACCCTTGCCCTGTCACGTTCATTATTTTGAGAGTGAATCAAATCGATTGCTGCAGAACGCGACTGCCTAACTCTCAATCGTTTTCTCTTAAGCCTCTCTGCTCGTCTTTCTGCTGATTCCGCGTTGTGCATCTGCATTGCTCTCATCCGCTCAGTCTCTCGGATGGAGGCCCGCTCTTCGTCAGTCATATTCGTAATCTTACGTCTTTTTGCTTCTGTATTGTGAGTACGACGACCCAAACTCGACTTCTTGGGTGGCATGACTTCGTTTCTTACTAAACCTGAACAAAAAAATTAAATTTTAATCTCCAATTTCTTCTTTCAATATGTTTTGAATGTTTGACAGGAAATGCTTTGATTCAGCTGGCTGCCTGTAGAGGGCGCAGCAGTAGGGGCACTGGGAAACGCGAAAAAAATTGATATATTCGCAAATGCAGATAAGCTATCAACATCAAAAGTAGACAATAACCGAGCTGGAACCTCAACGCATGTTGTGTAAAAATTTGGGCTTAAACGGTTCAGAACTTTTCAAGTCTATGAAGGAAGTAGACACAAACAGAACATTTTATATATATAGATAGATTATTATTATTATAACAAAAAAAAACCATTTAAATTCATAACTATATATGTATTTATAATTATTGAATTCAATTGTCTAAGAAATAATTTATAATAAACATATACATAAATTATAAAAATGGAATAAAATAAATGTTAAAATATGTAATAAATTCAGTCGCGAAATCGGTATTTTGAGGACCGCCTTGTTGCTGTATGTGTATGAGAGAGCTGCTGGCTCTAGAGCCAGCACGAAAACATCGCTGTATGCGTGCGAGTGTCTAGAGTCTAGAGCCAGCACGAGAGAGCGGCTGGCTCTAGAGCGCTCTCTCGCTGGCTTTCGAATGAAAAATGTGAGAGAGCCTGGAGGCAGTTCAAAAGCCAGCACGAAAAAATCGTGTTCAAAAAAATCGTATGGCGTTACGAATCTTCCACTCTATACACACTTTGGTTCGAACCAACCAACACCAAGGTCATCATTTTTCACATCTGACTATAGTTTTCTGTTTTTATACCCTTGCAGGGTATTATAATTTCAGTCAGAAGTTCGCTACGCAGTGAAGGAAGCCCCTCCGACCATAAAGAGTATATATATTCTTGATCAGCAACAATAGCCTAATCGATCTAGCCATGTCTGTATGTCCGTTTCTACGTAAACTAGTCCCTCACCTTAAAGCTATCTGAATGAAACTTTGTGGTTGGTCTTCTATATACTTTCACTCGTGTTAATGTCGGAACGGGCCGGATCGGAAGACTACATCATAATAGCTGCGATAGGAAGATCGAAAAATTTTACAACAAAAATTATAACATTTTCAGTTTTCAACAGAATTTGTTCAAATGATAAATAATAATAAGATATAGCCATTTTATAATATTCTACAATTTTGTTTTTAATTTTATGAAAATCGGACGACTATACATATATATTATATATATCTGCCATACAAACGATCTTTAGTTATAGTTAATAATGAAAATCTGTGAATGTTAAACTGTAAATATAATATGTATAGGTGAATGAAATGAAAGCAGGTACTACTTCATTGTTTTTTAACATAAAAATATTTAATTTTTATTGTTTGGATTCCTAGTCATCGAAGTTCTATCTACAAAGGTATATAAACTTCGGCGTGCCGAAGTTAGATGCCTTTCTTGTTTTCTAATGACTTTCGGTAACTAGTCAACGAACCTCACTCCGAAGCACTGTCTCTGCTGCGATGGCTCCCGCATATTTCGACAGAAAATTTGTATTTCCTGGAATTCCATTTGACACTGCTTTCCTGACCCATCACACGTCCGTTTTTGTTAATTTCAACATCTATCAAACAAATCAATAAACTTAAGGTATATTGGTTTTCTTTTTCTGTCTCATGTCTCTGTCTTATCTATTCTTAACGATTTTTTTTTATCCCGACTCAATTAATAAAATCATTATTCACTAACTAAAATTTACATTTTCTTACTTTTCACAAACTTCAACTCCCAATACATAATCGTTTACATAACTTACGTTTCTCTCTTAACTTCAAATCAATAATGTCGTGCATACTTATGCACCAAGTGCATGACCAAGACCTCCGCCATAACACTTCTCGTCCCTGCGGTACAGATGTTATAATGCGGCCAACATTATAATGTTTCTAAAGAAATTCTAAAGCATTAGATTTTGTAAATCGGTCTGTAAATCTAAACCTGTAACCTGAATATCAGGAACGGTAATTTGTTTTAAATATGTTACCAATCGGATTTGTTTTATTAACCAATCATAATGCCATGTTTATGAAATAAATTTTCAATACGATGTGATAAAAAACTTCCAAATCGAGCCGCGATACTTGAAATAGGTATGTCTCGCATATTAATTAATTAATTATTCATTCCTTTTCCAACAGGTAAAAGATTTTTTTCACTCGGCGCCCGAGTCTAGAAGAATAAAATGGAAAGGGCTCACCCATTTAACAGAATATGTTTTTTGCACAAGTGCCGGACACATGTCCAAACGGTTCTCCGTGTACTTGTCGTTTCCATAGGTACGAATGTTCATAACATTTAAAACCTTTTATGTTTGAACGTATCTTCATACCGGCCGTGCTGCCTTCACTATAATTGTTCTCCTGGCTGTAGCTCATTCATTCGCTTTAGCTCATTTGGCGTCGACACTTTCTTGGTGTCAGAGAAGCAAATTCTTTTTAGCTTGTTCCATGTAGGCTAACGTTATCGACACTGTAATCTAATTCATATCCTTAGCTTTCCAAAGGGCATAGCTCTATCCGGATTTGGGACATCCCACAGTAGCTCCTCTAGAACAAACATCGTAGCAAAAAAGTCATTGTCGCAAAACCGTTTTAAACCAAACATATCCAACAGAAAATTTACCAATGATTCCGACCAATCAAAATAATTTTACGATTTCGATATGAGCACTAAAAGTTGAAATTTGTTTTGTTCTTTGGCACATACAACATAAATTGTAAATTAGTTGACTTTCAGGTGATATTACACAAAAAATTGACTACCTATCGTCATGGTTTTTTCTTTAAATGAAAGATACATTTATAAACGGCAGCGAAATTATAAAAAAAAACAAAAAAAAGCTAACTTCGGCACACTTGTAGGTTGCAGTTTGATCACGAGCGATCAATATAAATTATATAAATTAATGTCAAAAAACATATTCACAGCTTTACAGTTACAGTTTACATTCACAGTTTGGCGTTTTCCTCTATATCTAAAGCTAATAAATTAAATAACAAACATTTTTAAAACAATGGTTTTCTTGAGAAATTTTTTACTTATACCGTGGCACATACTCCAATACATAAATGAATTTTAAAATTATAACCTGTCACATCTCGGTTAAATTATTTAATTATCTTATTTGGTTTAAAAGTTATGATTCTACTAACGTTAAATGAGAAAAGGCGCTATTGTGCGGCGGTAGAAAAGGAAATAAATGTAGTAGGACTAGAACACAATATTCGAATACGATAGCCCCAAAAATCCGTCGCACATAGAACAAGTAGTTATATATAGTCAAGGAATTATTAACAAAGAAATCTTGGACTGATGTCCTTAAAATTAATAATTTCGTCGAGGTACCCAAATCCCTAGAATTCGTACAAGAAGATACTGTGGATGTGAAGACGATAAACCTATGCAAAAATAACAGACCAAATTGAGAAAATTGTAGACAAAGAAACTGTCAGAAAACATGGGGCTGTATGCGCCATGGACACGCTACAGCTATTAGTAAGCACGGAGTAAAGCAGCAGCACGCAATGTTATCAGATTTCGAAATCTCCATCAACGATTGCCAAGCAAGGAATCCAAAGATCTAAATCGGTAACCTACATTAAAAGTTAAGCGTCGCAACAACTCTAGAAGTCCATACAGTTTTGTAACAGTTATTATAAAGAAAAAGGTTAAAAAATGATGTTCATGTGTCGATACTATGCATATCATCTTCGCAAGACAAAAGTCAATATAAAAGATATAAAGATATAAAGATACATACTAGAAAAACAATTGAGGAATCTACAATAAGTATTTCACCGTCTGAAAGAGAAACCTGTGATTAAATCCAAAAAGGGCCAGTTCTTTAAGATAGAACTGATATACCCGGGACACTGCATTACTAACCAGGGAATAGGAATACGAATAGAACCAATAAAAACATAAAGCTCTAAACCTGAAACATGCAAAAAATGGACAGGCATGGCTGCATCATATCCGCTGCTCATGCTTGTCAAACATATACATATATTTTATGTGGTAGGAAATGGTCATAATTATAGGATACTATTTTCACTATTTGTAAATTTTCATATAGATAGCTTTAAAAAAGATGGGCAGCATACCATAGATACGAGAAACTAATGCCTACAGTGAATGCCATTAAATTTGATACCTTTTAAATGTATAAAAAACAATAAATATATAAATAAAAATAATAATAATATCTCTTTGGTTTCAATAAATTAAATTTTAACTTACTTTGATATCCTTCAGGGATATAATGTCGCTGGAATTATTAATAATAGATGGCTTATTTTTAACGCTTGGAAAAATAATTCCATCTTTTCGAATTAAGGATTTTGCTGTTGTAGTATACGATACATTTATTGAAGTTCCTTGACTGTTCGAAGTATTTGTATTATAAGATGTTGAACGTAATGGACTCATTATATCATATCCAGAAATAGAAGTGAAAAGTGTAGCTGAATCATTGCTCACTGTGGACGGTTGAACATTGATATATGACCCAGATGTATTTAAGGTCGTTTCTTTAAAGGTTTTATCGATGACAGTGTGGCTTAAAAAAAAAATAAATTTGTTAGATATATTAATACTTAATAATAATTTATGTTTATTTACTTATTTGATTCATATTCATCAAAGCTGTCTGAAAAGTGAGGCTCAAATAACTCAGCTTTTATATGCTCATTTTCCTTTTTTTTAAACGCTTTTCAACCAAATCTAAATTGTTAATGATCAGATTGGTTTTTGTTTTAAGATCTTGGTGAATTTCGTCTATTGCCCGTTCTTGACGTTGTGTTTGAGTAAGTAGCGCGTCGGACTTGGGAAGAAGATGCTCCACAGTCGATTTTGTGCCGACCACGACATCCCAAACTTCATCCATTTTTTCAGACACTAAAACCATTGGTCTTATTTGTTTGACAATAGCATCTAGCTTGCTAGATTTAACAGGAGGTTGCGACGTTGTTGTTACGTTAAGTGTGCTAAATTGTTCGTGATTATCAACTACAGCAAAATGAATATCGTGTATCATCCGCATTATTCTTCCAATACTTTCTGACACAATGTTAATGTGAAACTGTAACTTTTTATCTACACTCTCTGTTGTATGTTTAAGTTCTCCTAATTCGGATGACATATGTGTCATAGCTTCAGTGTTTAAAGCTTTTGAAATTTCATTTGCGCTTATACTGATTGGCTTTTTTTCACTAGCCTCACCATATACTTCTTCAACTTGTAAAAAGTTATTATCTATTTGGAGCTTAAGACCCTCTAGCTTAGTATCAATAACAGATACTTTACGATCCAACTTTCTCAGTTGTTCTTCAAGTATGTTTGAAGTATTTTGTGTAGATCTGTTATTTTGGCTAACACTCATATGTGATAATTTCAATTCGGGTAAACCATTAGCAATGGTAGACTCCATATTGTGCATCTGAGATATAATTAAATCAGTCTTCACCATACTATTGATCATTCGATTTTGCAATACTTCAATATGTTGCATCACTATGTTAACAGATTTATCGAGATTATCAATACGATGAAGTTTTCCTTCAAGAGTTGTTATAACCCCTTCAAATACATTCAGTAGCTGTTGTTCTCTGAAATAAAAAGATAAATTTAATTTATTTTATATTCATTTTATATTTATTTTATTTTTATTTTTTTAGATTGAATTGAATTTATTATTGTATGTTATGGTAGTGTTGTGTAATTAATAATGTGGATTTTATTACTGCTTGAAATTTTGTTTGAAAAGTTGCATATGTAATGATAAGATGGCTTTTAGAAACATAATAACATATAATAAAAAGGATTTTCTCAAAATGTCACTTAACGGATAATAATAGTTTAAATTTTTATATGTTTATAGCCTTGCATGTTATTATAATTTTAGTCAGAAGTTTGGAACGCTGTGAAGAAGACATTTTCCTACCCTATAAAGTATATAGGTTCGTAATTAGCATCAACAACCTAGTCGATTTAACCATGACCGTCTGCCCGTTTATACGGAAACTAGTCCTTCAGTTTTGAAGCTATTTAGACGAAACGTTACAGTTTGTGTCCTATAAGATCTCTCTAGTATATTTGTCGGAAAGGGCCAGATCGGAAGACTATATCATATGCCACAAGAACAATGAAAAAGGAGACAGCGATTTTGAATTACTTGTCTTCCACTTTGATTATTTAAAATAGACTGTCGCTTCGCTATGAACTGATTGTGCTTTTAAAGTTGCATGGCCTCTTTAAATATTGAATAATTATGTTTTGTGAGCTGGTCGTAGACATACATAAATAAAAGCTGGCGAATTAAAGCCTATCAGTTGCAGACTTAGTTGAGCTGTCGTAGCTCGTCTATTTTCTTTCTCATCTCTAGTTGAGCGAATCTTTGAGTAAGGCTGTGGATGTCTGCTGCCACCACCTAGAACTTCTCCGAAAGATTGCCCAGGACGCCTGGCTTGCTTTCCGACAGCTCCTAGGAGAGGGTTATCCTTATGCTTATCAAATTTCGCATAAATGAAAAGGAGCATTTGGGTCGAAGCTCAATCGGGCGCTTTCAACACCGCTTAGTTCCTGCAGGCTCTTAGTAGAAGACGCACAACATGCTTACAGGAAAGGCAGATCCACAGAGACAGCACTACATGAAGTGGTAGGATACATAGAAAATGCACTGCACTTCAAGAATTACACTCTGGTCACCTTCTTAGACATGAGGGCGCCTTCAATAATGTAAACGCAGACTTCATCCTGAGCTCCTTGAACAAGGTAGGAGTTGAAGAAGGCATCAGACGGATAACAGCCGAACTGAGTGGAGCTCATCACACAAGATTTGTAAAGAGAGGCACACCTCACGGAGGAGTTCTGTCTCTGCTTCATTGGCTGATAAACATGGATGACATATTGAAAGTGCTTAACAGTGAAGATGTAAAAGTAGTAGCATACGCAGACGATGTAGCCCTACTGACTTCAGAACCCTTCCCCGACGCCATCAGTAAACTGATGACAAGGGCAATCACCAAACTAAATGCATGGAAAAAAACGTGCGGATTGGGGATCAATCGAGGTAAATTAGATTTTATGCTCTTTACAAGAAAAACAAAGATCCTTAACTTCAATAAGCCTCAGATAGGAGGCATAGAACTTGGACTATCGCTACAAGCAAGTATCTGGGAGTGATACTAGATGCAAAGCTGTCATGGAAACAAAACATCAACGAAAGAGTCAAAAAAGCTAGCTTTTTACTCCTGTAGGAAGATGTTAAAAAAAAATATGGGGCATACACCACAAGATAGTTATATGGCTCTACACAGCGGTTGTAAGACCCATACTTACATATGGAGCACTAGTGAGGTGGCCAGCATTAACTAAGGCCTACAACATCCAGAAACTGTCAAAGATTCAGAGATCGGCATGAGCAGGGGCAACGGGCGCCCCTGCGGGAGCGCTGAATGTCATCCTTAACATTATTCCAATAAAACATTTTATCAGGAATACACCAAAGTGCGGCACGACTGAAGGCAAGCCGGAGCTGGAAGAACTACCACACATCCTTGAAGAGATGAATTATCGGATGCGATTCGGCAACACCTACACCACGATATACCCAACAAGGGAGAAATAGAAACGGTACCCGAGCCAGATGAGGTATCATTCTACACCGACTCCTCAAGGATGAGCTGAGAGGTAGGGGCCGGAATCTTCTCTAAAAAGTGGGGAGTAGAAGAGTCATTCCACCTCACAGAGTCAGCGACAGTATTCCAGGCGGAGGTTCTCGCAATACTGACAGCAGTCGAACTCTCACTAAATCGAAACCTCCGGAATACCAAGGTAAGTATCTACTCAGACAGCCAAGGGGCCATCAAATCCCTCACAACAGTGAGGACCACATTTACACTAGTGGCCAAATGCAAAGAGGCACTAAAAAGCCTAGCAGAAGACAACAGGGTACAAATAGCCTGGATACCCGAACATAACGACCTCCCAGGAAACGAGAAAGCGGGCGAGCTGGCCAAGAAAGGATCAGAGGAAAGCTCCAATACAACAGATACACTAGTCTCTCTGAACTCAATCCAGATAGAAATTTATGACCATTTTAAACTATTAGCCAGCAAGGAATGGTCAAGGAAGACATGCTGGCCTAAGCTATGGAAGCTATGCTGCCCTAATTACAACGGGAGATAGACCGGGGAGCTGATCTCCAAGAGTAAAAACGACAGCAGTAGGTTAACGGCAACCATCATTGGCCACTGGCCAATAGGCACGCCCGCCTGCAAGATGGGTCTACCCTACAACATACTGCAGAAGTTGCAAGAATCCGGGAGAGCAGGATACACCAGAGCATTTGCTGTGTCACTGCTCACGCTCAACCAAATCAGGGCGCTTCACTTCGGAGTTCACCAGCTCGGGTCACTAGGGAAGTGGGAAGACAGTCAGTGACTGCAATCCTAGCCAACCTGAATGACACGGGCATTTATTGACGATGAGGCGTCGACTACGACCTACGAGGGTGTGGATCAAAATGGACCTCAGCTCTAATTTGAGGCTATTTGGGTAGCCTCACCACTTTAACCTAACCTAACTTAACAGAAAATATAGTTTAACAAGTATGGAGAACTGAATGGAGTTATGTGCAACGACCTGATTATTGATTCGCAGTCCTTTTTACACAATTTAAAAATTTTTTGCGAAGCTTTATGAAAACGGTTTTAATGTTAAAAAATCTGACGACTATATCATATTGCTCATACAAAAGACCGTTAGATATATAGAAAACCATTAATTAATTTTAAACAATTTTATGTTTATTATTCTGAAATATTTCATTAATAAAACTTGTTAGTTTGTTTTTATATACTCTCAGTAGTTTATATTTAAGTCGGAAGAGCCCGGACCGAACTGATATTTCATATAGCTGGCATAGAAACGATCGGAGAATTTTTAGAACAAATAAGTACAAGTTTTGCAGATTTCAACATATTTTTATCTAATTTGAAATAAGGCCATTTTATTTAGAATTTTTTCTTGAAATTTATGAAATTCCCTCTACTCTATCATATAACTTGTCATATGAACCTTTAGGAACAGAATATAACAAAAAGTTTAACTTCGCTGTTAAAAAAAAACAAATTTTGAGTTTTAAAATAAATTTTTTGTATATTTTAGATATTGTTTTGCCATTAAAAAGGTATAGCGCTGAGAATAAAGAGGGTGAAGAAACTTTATGACTTTTGCTTTATTAAGATATCTCACAAATTCATAAGCCGAAATTTGAAATTTGAAGGCCATGTTCGGTACATGGCTAAGGCTGGTAATAAAAAAATAATTGAAAGAGGTCATATAGATTTTCATTCACAACAATATACTAAAAAACTTTTTTTAACATACATAAAAGGTTTTGTACAAAATGTTATATTCATTTTTTTTTTTACATTTACTGTGGGCCATAGCCTTAGACCCACAGATTAAAATACTTTTTGATTTTAGATAAACTGTGTTATCTGAATCATGACAATTATAAAATCTAAATGAAACTTAATAAATAAATTGCTTAACAGCTTAGCCATCAGCTCTGGTTTAAATATTGTACTTTTTACTTTATATTGTACTTTTTAGAATTGGGTTGGCACTAATAAATACATATATATAATTTTGCGACGCTTTTTCGACTAATCAATTGGTATCGCCGATATATGCTAGGAGGATATGTAACGCAATAAGTAGTAGAATGCAAAAGTATTAAAAGGCAGGCAGCATAAAATATATCTAATTTTGGTTTGTAATAAATTATTATTATTTAGGTTTTTAACATTCATCTTTCCAAGTGTGTTTATAAATTTCTTATTTGTGTATTTAATTTAGTTTATTTCTCATTTTTAATTCTGCTACTAGTGCTTGCTTTTGCATTCATCTATGTGCCTTTCCCGTTCAGCCGTTGTATGCGCCGTCGCGACAGCTCAACGTTCCAACGTTTTTGCAGGGGACCTTGCAAACGGCTGCTAGCTGTGCGACACACCAAGTTCAAGCGCTTGGAAAGATTCGGTGCCCAATATCCATGCCAAGATATCCATTGTATCTTTTGGGGGTTCTCAAAATTATGACCAGAGTCCCGTAAATCCTCGTGCCCAGGGTGTCAGGCCCAGAATACCGGCCGATAACGGTACGGCAGATAATCTGTTAACCTTGTCAATAGCCCTTATAGCAGTCCCACCAACGAGACATATATATTTGTCTCTTGCCTCTCCTTGCTCAATCGCCTTTATACAAGGCAAAAGCAGAGCCAATAATCTCAATAAAAAGATGGACATTTTCAAATATTCTTTTGCTTGCGACAGTTCATCTTTTAAAATAAATGTTCCGAACGAACTCATTAAAAAAATGTTATTTATCAAATTCCGTCCAGAGTATGTTGTTGTCAAGGATTTCGAAGCTAAGAAAAATAAAAGGCGGCCTGTAGGAATAACTTCCTAATCCAACCCCGATCCAAAAAACTAACCTACTCCCTAGGTATTTTCTATCAGAATGCAAAGAATGTAGTCTGAT